GCAGAAGAGTAGCACTGGCAGCATGATCATCAAAGAATGGCAGCCACTTTGTCTGGTGACAGCCGTCGCTGGCGCAGCAGCGTCTTCTGCCTCTAACGATGCACTGCTGTATCCACTGGGCAGCCAAATGACTTTTTTTCAGGCAGGCACCCAGTCACCACTGCTCGGCACACTTGTCCCTCACCGCCGCCACTTCTCTGCTCTTCGTCTATTGTTTTCTCAAGCCCCCTTCAATCATTTTTTCATTCATTCACTCACTTTCTCAATATTTCTCTACTCCTCTGCAGGTTTGCAAGTTGTGGTGCCACTTACTGTACGATGACAGTCGATACTGGCAGAATTTGACGTTCGTGATTTACTACAATCAATTCAGACAGAGCTGCTTGACGGCGGAAGAGACAGTGCCCGGGTCCACCAGTCATTCACTTCAGACAGTGCCGTCCACCAGCAGTAATATCAATAGCGCTAATGGCGCCAGCAGCAGCAGCATNGGAAGAGACAGTGCCCGGGTCCACCAGTCATTCACTTCAGACAGTGCCGTCCACCAGCAGTAATATCAATAGCGCTAATGGCGCCAGCAGCAGCAGCATCAGCTCAACAGAGCAGCAGTCCATAAATAATGCCAATCAAGTGACAAACAAGACGACGACGATGGCCAACGCTAGCAATGGCAGTGTTGTCGCCGCCGCCGCCGCCGTCGCCAATCGAGCTGCACCTAGTGCCAATTTAAATGCCAGTGGGGATCGAGTTTCAGCGAGTGCGACGGCCAACAGTGAGGAGGCCAAGATGAACAACACCGACTACGCGGGAACACCCTGGGATGCACAGATGGACGATAGTGCTGCTGCTGCTGGTGCTGGTGCTCACCAAAGCAAATGGTCACAACAACAGCAACAGCAGCAGGGGGCCTTCTCCTCAGCCGACACGAGCAATCCCTTTGACGTGGCACTGAATGGCAGTCCGGCCTTCTACGCCAGAATGCTGATGATGCCCACAGCGAGTACAGCCACTGCAACTGCGGCAACAACAACGGCAACAACGGCAACAACAACGGCACCTCACTACTCGACACTTGCCTTGGAGCAGTGCAAGAGCGAGGCCGACTGTCGCAGTCGGCTGTACCTCAGCGTGAAGATGCGCGCCTTTGACTCGATCTGCCTGCAAGGCGCCACCGATGCGGACATCATCGAGTTCACTACTCAGGCGGCGCTGAATGACGGCCTGGAGAAGTTTGTCCACGTCTCCATTCGACACTCCTCCATCACCGACAAGGGACTGGAGGTCTTTCTCGCCTCCATTGCCCGCTCGCTGCAGTCATTTGAGCTCATTGGTAAGTTGATCGCTGTTGTTGTTGTTGCTGTTGCTGTCAAAATAATGTGTTAATGCTCTATCTTTTCAAACACCTCATTTAGGATGCAATGAAATCTCCGATTCAGGCCTGTGGACGGGTCTAGTGCCAAACTTAAAAAGTCTTAGTATTCAAGATTGCATCAATGTTTCTGATGAGACTATTGCCGCCATTTGTCAGTTGCTTACCTCTCTGAAGACGCTGCACATTCAAGTGAGTTTTGAGAAGCTCTACTTGTTTTTTCAATTGTTCTCATTAACCCAAATGACCTAATTTAGGCTTACCACGTGACCGACTCTTCTATGGCGTACTTTAGCACTTCAATGCTTCGGGAGACCCTGCGCACACTGATACTGAGTCACTGCTGGGAAATCACCAACCAAGGAGTGGTCAATCTGGCGCACAGTTTGCCTAACTTGACATCACTTTCGCTGTCTGGCTGCTCAAAGGTTGGTTTAGTTTAAAAAATTGCTAAAGTTTAACGCTGACACACATTAAACAACATTTTCAGGTTACCGATGAGGCAATTGAAATAATTGCCGAGCAACTTCGAGGCTTGAAACTGTTAGATCTTTCCTGGTGTCCTCGAATCAGCGATGCCGCCCTTGAATACATTGCTTGTGATTTAGCAGAGTCACTAGAAACGCTCGTCTTGGATCGGTAAGTCTTTGCCTCTTTCCATTTAAGTAGTTGAGCTATCTAGTTGCATGTTTTCAATTAACACAAAGTGCTCTCTTCCTGTCGAGCGGTGGTGTAATGGCCGGAACTAGATGAGATGAACTAGGGAAGGAAAAAGAAAAGCTAAAGAAGGCACATACTTCAGGCACTTCAATTTCTACTACTCCATTAGCTTTTTCTTCTTCTTTCTCCGTCTTTTCTCTTTCCCCTCCTTCCTCATCCTTCTTCAGAGAGCGCCAGTAATTACGGGCGAATTAATATTAATAATAAATGAGATTGAATTGCAGTGCTCGCTGGCGTCGATTGCCATGCACAATTTGAACAGTAGCAACGGCACATCTTGCTAATCCTTCGACTGATTAGTAGTTGAGCATCTTCTTAGCAGTGTGCCCAATTCCTTCCAATAAGGAGTACATTTGCCTATGCAATGCAAAAAAGATTAGAAAAACGAGAAAAAGAAAACGAATACGACGACGACGACGACGGCGACATTACATTGAGATTCAGTGGCAATTCGAGAGCACATGCATTCTTTTTCGCTTTTCCCTTTCTCTCTGGTACCGTGTTCGTTGTCAGAGTTGGAGAAAACACTCAACAGGGAGGAAAAGAACAGTGCATTTAATTATCGGCACTTGCCCAAGCAGAAGAGAACAAGTCGAGTGCGTACTCTTGCTTTTTCTTTCAATAGCTTTTCTTTTGCCAGAAGAATGTCGTGCTAAGACCCCTTATACTGGCGAAAACTGCTGCTGCTGTTTTGCACTCTTAATTGTTGCCCTAAACAGACTCACTGAATGGTGCACTCACTATTGTGCACTCACTACTCTTCTTTTTTTCACCCGTTAATCTCCTGCAGGGCACCAAACATACACACACGCACATGTGGAGAGAGTGAATTCACTTTGAACTTCATCTTCTTTTCCATCATCTCCTCACCGACTACTGCGCGCTTCAGTGCTCTTCTGAATGATGAATTGCAGTCGACTGCGTGCTCCCTTTCTCTTCTTCCTTTTTCGTTGATGCCTCCTCTTCTTCTCGCCTAATATCAATTATAATTATTGCTGCACTTCTTAATGATTCACTGCTTTAATTAAGTCAACTTAGGAGCAGTGATGAAAGAGAGTAGTAGTGCAAAAGTAGTTCAGCGCCTTACTAGCACTCACTTTCCAGCGCAGTAGCTAATTGCCGCTGCATATGCTTCTTCTTCTTGGCAGCGGCAGCAACAACAACAACAAAAATGCAAACATTTGCCCGTCGCCAATTAGTGTGCCCATCGCTGTTCACCGTTGCCCCCTTGTCGCGCCCTGATGATGGCAAAGTGCATGCACATCAAAGGCGCAAACTAACACAGGCACAAACTTATTGTTGACAACTTATCAACTACTTTTACACTTCTTCTACTCACTCAACTATGATTAACTGGAGGAGAAAATTGGCTAGCAACAACTTGTCTGCACAATGTTGTCAGAGTTTGTCCAAGCAAAAAAGACTTGTACATTTACGTTTATTCACTACTTTTGCCATTTATTCTGCTAAAGAATATTCTTTTTGCAATTAAAGGGGCATAATGTATATTTCAACGGCTACTTTTGCCAGCTAAATAAGTTGTGCATCAGAATGTGTGTAGTTTTGTTGTTGCAGTCATAATGAACGGACACTCTGTAAAATAAATCGTCTTTTAATGGTGTCCTCAAATATGGCTCAGCTTTACCCATTGGGACCAATTTGCAAACTGAGAGTAAAGCTGATTAACTAGTGCTGCTGCAATGCTCCATCTGCTACTATCGTCGATGACACAGATCAGCAACTTTCTCGCTGGCTATTTATGAGGCCATACTCGCTGTCACTTAATGCTTTTGGCCTGTTTTGTGGGCAATTATTATTTGCAATACACCACTGGGCCAACTTGAGAGCACACACTTCTTTGCCGCATCACACTCATACCTTCTGTCAGCATTCATTACTTCCAGTAGACCATCTTTGGGCACCACTGATTCTTCTTGAAGCAGCGTACAAGCACTCTATTCTNCCATTGGGACCAATTTGCAAACTGAGAGTAAAGCTGATTAACTAGTGCTGTTGCAGTGCTCCATCTGCTACTATCATCGATGACACAGACCAGCAACTTTCTCGCTGGCTATTTATGAGGCCATACTCGCTGTCACTTAATGCTTTTGGCCTGTTTTGTGGGCAATTATTATTTGCAATACACCACTGGGCCAACTTGAGAGCACACACTTCTTTGCCGCATCACACTCATACCTTCTGTCAGCATTCATTACTTCCAGTAGACCATCTTTGGGCACCACTGATTCTTCTTGAAGCAGCGTACAAGCACTCTATTCTTTTATTACCAATTTAAATCATCGTTTGTCAATGCGTGATAACGACTGTAGTAACGATTTTGTGCCATTATCTCATGTTTTTCTTTTTTCTTTTTCTCTTTGTTTTTAGATGTTTGCACATCACCGACATTGGCCTAGGCTACATCGCCACAATGGCCCACCTTGAGAGTCTTTCCGTTCGCTGGTGTCCGCAGGTGCGTGATTTTGGACTGCAGGCGCTCATATCACTGCGATCACTGCGAACACTGTCAATTGCCGGTAAGTGACTAGAGAGAGAGTCCGTCTTTTGCTTTAGTTCAATTTGTAATCTTTGTCTATCTCCTTTACTCACTCTTTCTCTCTCACCGCAATGTAATAACGATAATCACCACATTCATCCTCTATCTTTCCTTTTCTTTCACTTAGGCTGTTCACACGTCACCATCACCGGGCTGTCTTTCCTCGTGCGAATGCAGCAACTGGAGGAGCTAGAGCTGACTAACTGCGCCACAGCCACTAAAGACATGGTCAAGTATCTGGCGGAAAATTTACCTAAGACATGCAGCATTATCAGATGAGTTTACGAGCATGTGACATCACTTTCAAATCCAAATGGAGGAAAAGGAAGAGGAAGAGGTGTCTCAAACAAACTAGCTTGCCCTTCTGTGATGCCAGCATTTTTGCCAATTTCTAAATGCAATGTTGCCAATGTTGCAAGTTGCACCAAACTGACATTTAATTGTATTTATCAACTGCATTTGGGTGAAGGCTGCAGCCGATCAACCGATCACCAGAAAGCTACTGCTACTATTGACTTGTTATTAATTCGCCGCCTTTGCACCAAAATGCACACAAACACATTTACACAGACGGCAACAACCAACGCACAAAACGCCATTCTCTTTTTCGTTCTGTCAACTGCAATTCTCGCACTAATTTGCCGTCAATGTGTCCAGCCAGTGCAAATATCAACAGCAGCAACACATTCCGCTTTCTTCGATTATTTTTGCTTCCTCCATCTGCTGTATTTGTTTTCCATCCTTTCTTTTGTTTCCAAATTCTCTTTTTTCTTTTTCCCTTCGTTGACATTTAATATTTTTGGTCTACAAAAGCCAACGAATCTATTGATGATTTTGTTCCTCTTTTCACATTTTCTTTCTCTTTCATCATCTTCATCACACCCATCTCTTTTCGACGCTATCATCTCCATTACATCACATTGTCCCTCGCATAAGCGCACGCTATTTTTTGAATTGTTATTTTCACACTCATTTTCTTTCTTTGCCTATGGTCACTGACAATGGCACTGGGGAATTGGGCACCAATGCTGCAGACTGTCAGACAGCAGTGGTGGTGGTGACTGCTAGGCAAGAACGCAGTGGCGCCCAGGGAACCAAACAACTAAAAACCCTTTTCTCTGAACTGCTTTGCCACTGCTCTTTCCAGCGGCCAGCTCTCTTGATCCTCCTCCTGATGATCCTTTCCTCCTCTTCTTATTTTCTTCCTTGCAACACACCTGTGTTACTATCACTAGCTTTTCCCACTTTTCACTTTCCCCAACTTCAGTTTATACTTTTTCCCTTCTCCTCCTCCTCCTCCTCCTTATTCCCTTTTTAATGTCCTAAATACCTCAATCAGCTGATCAGTACGATCCCGCTTATTTCCCCCTCCTCCTCACTATCACCACTTCTTTCTACCCCCTCTTCCTATCTTTGTCATCATCATCATCCTCCTCCTCATCTAGTCTAATGACCTTGTTACCACTCCCTCATCGCATTACCACCACTGACACACCTGTCGGCGCCACAAAAAATTACCTTCAATTTGACGCATTGTTACGAATTACTACTTTATTTGCTTGTTTATATATCTTCCTCTCAACCTGCATCCACTCATCTTTTTCACTCTCTCATTCTCTTTCTTTTTCTCGTCACTTCCTCTCGCCACTCTTGAGCCCACTACTCGTTAGGAGCAAGAGCAAAAAGTGAGAGCATATGACCAGGTTGAAGCACTCGTTCATGGTCTCACCTTCTTCAACAAGTCACACACTTTTCCCTCTTTTAACCGTATCAAGATTGCGCAACCATTGTTTGCTTGTTCGACTGCCAAACAAACAAATCTCATTTTAAAAGTGCAGTAATGATAACGTCATTTTGCAGCATTGCAACGCTCTCATCTGAATCTAGTCATCTTTCTCCTTCTCGGACAACCTTTTTTTCAACGATCCTCTTTTCACCCGTTCCAGTCAACACCACCGTCAACACACATATACACTATTGAGTCCTTCCACGAGGAGCATTTATTCTCTCTCGACGATTCCACAACTTCAATTTCACACTAACAACACACAGACAACACATTATATCATTATATCATTATTATTTTGTTTAACAAACATTACACCACATAGCCAAACCTATTATAAATATTACTACCTTAATTTAAATAAATTTTATTTTTACTTACCAACGCTTTTGAACTTTTTTGGTTTTTTCGCTTTGCCTACTAATGCAGTAAGTAATCAGAACGCACGCACTTGCCATCTATCATGGCACTTAATCTCGAATGGTAATTAGTTGACACTACAGTTACTTTATCGGGTTTGTCAATCTCTCTTTCGGCCTTTATTGCAACTTCACAGTCTACAAAAGTTTACTTGACTTGAACTATGAATCTTATGATAGGAAAAAACCAAAATCACATTTTGCTAATTTTTAAGCAAGCATTTGAAAAACGAGTGGGAGGAAGGGGAAAAAAGTTGTGATCAATGTGATAGTGACTTATGGTGCTGTATTGAACTTTCTTTGCTTTCTTTGCTGCCTTTTGACATTGAGATTGACTTTTTTTGGCAGTGTTGTTCTAATCGATGATTTTTTCACCAGCTGTTTTTGTCTGCTGCTACTGTTTCAAAGTCTGGTGATCTTGGCGAATTTGTCGCCGACGTCGCCGTTGTTGTGGAATCTCTGGGGACTGCAAACTCTGTCACTCTTCATTGCACCCATCGATGTTCACGCACAGCTCCCAGCATGCACTGTTTTCATTTTAGTTCTTTCAACAGCATTCAGGCCATCTTTTTTGCACCACTGCAACGGTCTCAGCAGCAACAGCAGCAACTCCAATTTGAATAATGTGCCATCATCACTCAAGCGCTTCCACTAATACACTGCCTGTCGCATGACTCTTTCTTTTTTCCAACAGATCAAGCACACATTAAAATCAAGGCAGCACATCTCACATCTCACTAGCTGGTATGTCACACTTTAGTATTTTTTGCAAACTGCATCTTCTTTTGCTTCTTCTTCCNACCACTGCAACGGTCTCAGCAGCAACAGCAGCAACTCCAATTTGAATAATGTGCCATCATCACTCAAGCGCTTCCACTAATACACTGCCTGTCGCATGACTCTTTCTTTTTTCCAACAGATCAAGCACACATTAAAATCAAGGCAGCACATCTCACATCTCACTAGCTGGTATGTCACACTTTAGTATTTTTTGCAAACTGCATCTTCTTTTGCTTCTTCTTCCTTTGCTTATCTGCCAAGTCGTCAAACAGTACAGTGCACGCCTAGTGCAGTAGGAGATCTATCCGCAGTGAAACTGTCTCTCAGTGAATCACAGTGGGCAATCTTGGCTGGCCACAGATGTCCAGTGGAAGATCAATCAGTAGTCTCTTTCTCCCTTTCTCTTTAGCAGTCGACCAGTGTTCATTTGAGCAGCACTTTTTACCATTCACTGCTTCACTGCCACTCGCCACCATGATCTTGTTCGCTCAAATCAGAGCCAACCAGAGCAGTGGTGGTGGTCATCTCAAGTCCACTGTCGTGATTTATTGTTTATCTGTTCTCTCCCCTCTCTTCACTCCGCATCTTTGCAGAGGCACTTTTTCTTACTGTGAGCTTAGAAAAAACACACATAAAGACACACTGCAACTTCCTCGATGGAGGAAAAGTGTCCAATGCAAAAAGTACGCATACGACACGGCGGTCAACTTCTGTTGTTGTTGTCTGCTTCGTTTGCTCTTCACATTTTTTTACATATTACATAACAGTAGTTGAACTTTATTTATACTGTAACGAAAGAAACAGTGGTTTAAGGGAATGAGTTAGAGTTGGAGTTGGCTAAAAAGCGTGCACAGGGGAACAGCCAAGGGGACACCAGCTGCAGCAGTTGATGATAGATCCACGGAAATGAAGTGAACTGCCTTCAGCTGAGTCAGCTGAAGAGGTTCGCTGCGCTAGTGGTCAAATCAGCCGTTGGTGGTAGAGAGAAAGCAAGCAGGCAGGCTCCCCTGCTCTTCTAATCAATTAATTGACTTTAATTATGTTTACAAATGCAACGAAACGGAACCGATTAATGAACGGGGCAAGTGCCACTTTGAAACGCGCCAACGGCGTCTCGGGTGCTCTCCTTTTCCCCCATTTTCCTCTTCTTCTCTCTTTCGCTTCCTTATCTGACCGATCCCATCGTCTGGACGATTCAGCGGCTTCAACGGCAACCACTCTCTTCTCCTCTCGATTCTCCCTGGCCATTATTATGCGGGCAATCTGCCCTTTGCAGCAGCAACAGCTGCAGCTGCCCAGACAAATTGGCTAGCTATCGATTGATTGTCGTGCAGTGCACTCGCACAAACAAACAGACAGTAACACTAACACACGTAAGCAGCTTAGTATTAGTTGTTGTTGTAGTGAATAGTAATGATACACCTCAGTAATGGAGATAGGAAGAAAACGAGAGTTTTATTCAATAAAGAGGAGCATATTTACAAGCTACCAGTTAGACGAAGGAGAGAGAAGAGAGAGGAAGAAAAGAGTTGTGGTGATCATCAGTTGGTGCAGGTGTGATCATCTTTGAAAACACACTGAAGACAAAGCACTGGAGATAGAGAGAGCGAGAAGAGGAGAATGGCGCGCAGTGAATGGTAAATGGTGCGAAGAGTGTGTAACTTGTGCANTAAAGAGGAGCATATTTACAAGCTACCAGTTAGACGAAGGAGAGAGAAGAGAGAGGAAGAAAAGAGTTGTGGTGATCATCAGTTGGTGCAGGTGTGATCATCTTTGAAAACACACTGAAGACAAAGCACTGGAGATAGAGAGAGCGAGAAGAGGAGAATGGCGCGCAGTGAATGGTAAATGGTGCGAAGAGTGTGTAACTTGTGCAAAATAAATTAGTCTATTAGGCACAGGTGACGGGTAAGAGAGAGAGAGAGAGTGCTGCACCAAGAGCGGAAGGAGAAACTGGCGATGAATTCAATTCAGCTGTCCATGCCCTCCAACGCCCGCTGCTTGATGCTGCTGCTGTCTGCCAATGGAAAAAGTGTGGATGTGTGGGCGTGTGATGATGATGATTCGACTGCTGTCCGCCATTCTACTTCTACTACTAATACGTTTGTACCGTGACCCGGAAGTGACTGGAAAAAGGAGGAAGAGAGAGAAAAAGCAAAAGGGAGGTGTGTGTGTTCCGAGTGCACGGTTCAGATGGAATATATGCTCCCTCCAGTGGCAATGCAACTTCTGGCGATGTCTTCTCTACGCTATCTACTCTTCGTCTTCAGTAGTAGCTGTGATTGATGGGAGTG